TGAGCAGTGCTGTTAGAGATCTGAAGATGTTATAGGTACAAAGAAATAAAAGTAATATTACTAATAATATTTAAGGTAGCCTTCAAAATCCAGTTCCATGCATATAATCATCAACAACTCCAGAGAGCAGCAGTGAGTCTTGGGAAACATCAATCCCTGGATACACCCACCAGTCAGGGGGCCTTGAGGTCATCAACATTGCTATCCTAGGTGGGCTTGAACTGATCAGGTGAACCCCTTACAAGAAGGTGACCACAAGAGAGACACTCATTTGTTGGTCTCAAAGAGGAAATGGGAAACTCTCACATTGTGAAAGCCCCCAATAAGAATATGAGCATGTCTTCCAGAAGAGGAGAGCGACCCCCAGGCCAAAGTCAGCAAGAAAACAGGGTCATCATAGCTATGCTTACGTGAAACTGGATTTGCCTAACAACACATGAATGGGCTGGATGAATTCTCAGATGAATGAACACACGCGCGCGCACGCACCCACACGCACACACACTCATATAAACTCTGCCAAGGACATTTAATAATAATTTTTTATAAATTTTTATATATATATAAAAATGTTAATATGTAACACTAAGGTATTACACATAAATGAAAATATACACATACTGAATTATTTATTTCTTCCAAAATGCACCAAATAACACTGCTTCACTTTGATACAAATCATGGAACGTGAAAAGCTGTGGTATCTGAAAACACATATAGATCCTAAAATCTAGCTGGCTTTCTGCTCCCATAAAGATTTCGAGTATTGGAAACTCACAGGAGAAGTTCTACTCCATCCTATAGGGTCAATTGCCTTGATGGCAGTGAGTTAAGTGAGAATTTTTCCAGTGTCCTAGAACTGTGTATATTAGTACTTTCTCATGTCCGTGGCATCAGAAGAAAATTTCAATGCGTTCTTGGCATCAATATGTTTCCAAAATGCCTAATTTTTAAAGTTGGGAAATATTTAAGAACTAGAGAAAGATGGGAATAATGTGAACCAACAAATAAACCAACAGAGTAGATACGTATGTCTCTGCATGTTCAACATCCTTATTTGCAAACTATCATGACAATAACATTTATTTAAATGTGTTTTTAAATAAATATTTTTAAAACTTCACATCAACCAAAGCAGGCTCGATATTGTCTTTTTGTTTGCAACATGTGAAAACTGGGGACCACGAAGATTAAATAATTTGGCTAAAGTCATTCATCTCTAACAGAAGCCCTCAGCGTCTAGGCCTGTGGTAGTTAGGGATTACATCCACTAACCCTGCTTGTTAGGGGGGGGTAGCACACCCATCCATCGCGTCACAGACAGATGACAACTCATTGACGTCAAAAGCCTTTTGAATAAGAGCAACACAAACACAGACAATCTCACTCTCCGTCACTCTGCCTTCCTGCTTGCCAGGACTCTGACGCTGACACAGAGCTGTCAGTGCTCTACCCGGTTTCCACTAACATTGGATCTACAAGACTGCACCCACTGACCGGTTCCCTCCCTGCTTATTTTTCTGCATCACCAGCCAGCAGTTACATGAGGCTGAAGAGGGACCTGTGGACTAGCATTGGACTACGTATATGAGCTGGACAGGGCTGGGTTGCCTTTGGGATACAGGAGGAAGCATTTTTGCTTAGATGGCATGGAGTTCATTTTAATGGCCATGGAACAATTTGGAGAGGAAGATCAATAATGATTGCAACAACATGAAGAATATCATCAATGGCACTGAATTATACATGCAGAAGTCGGTGGAATGGAGAATGATTTGTTCTGTAGATTACTGAAGAAGAAAAAAAACCAATTACCTGAATAATGATGAGTACGAGGAAAAAGAAAATGTTCCAAAATTATTGTGGTAAAGTTTACAACTCTTCCTGATGAGATTGAACTACTGAATTGTATGATATTTGGATAAAGAACCAATAAAATTGCTAAACAAAGGAAGTCATAGTGAAAAAGAAGTGAAATAAAACTCTTTCTTAAACATCGATGAGTGTCACTGGATTTTTTTCTTCAGACAACCCTGCCTAACACAGGGCCATTAGAGGTTGTAGGTTTTTCTGTTTTGTGTTTCATTAAGGGATGCCATAAAGTACTGTGCCAGGTCCTGAAGGGAGGCTGAGAATAAAGAGCCCTAGTTACGACCCTTCAGAAGTTGAGCGGCATCAAGAACTAGTGAAGGCAATAGATACATGTATTAAACATTATTACAAAACAAGTAAACTAAAACGTGTTTGTTCAAGAGAGAAAAACTCACAAAATACCATGAACACATATGACTGGGTACGGAGACCACGTTGCAGAGGATGGAGTCAAACAGCTTCGACTGCTCAGTATCAGCAGTCTCTCGACTAGCCTGCACAATACGCATGATCAGTCTTCATTTGAAGTCACAAAGTCCGGCCTTAGAACTCCTCAGCCGTTCACAGCGTGATAAGAAAGATGTTGGAAATGGATTCCCGGAAGTAATAATGAATATGTCTGCCTTTAGTATTGGTCAGGAATTTCCATTAGGTTCAAGCCAATGAACTTACTTCGAGAGAGATTCTCAAGGGCTTTTCCCAGCTTCTTGCTCTCTTGAAGGATGTGGTTCAATTCATCGAAATCACGGCCTTCTGGTTTACTCCGCCAGTTCCATTTAGGATGCTCTACAGATACAGGCACTACATAAAAAAGAAGGATATTTCATAAGCATGCTAACTAAGGATATAAACTTAATATTAACCAATATGTATAAGATTCTACCAAGACCAATGTGCAGGATGAAATATGTTTTACCTAAAGATCGCTTTCCTGAGAGCAAACCAAGGAGAGCTATAATATCAAGTTTGAAAGGGGCAGTTTAGCTGAAAATGGAAAGGAAATGCAATGGGGTTTACAGAAAGAAGGACACAGGTATTGATTTGAATTTTGTCATTTCTGTACTTTAAGGGAAAAAGCACACAGGCAAAGTATAAAGTGACTGGCATTAAAAAAATTACTAACTTCATCGGAAATTAAAAACTATTTTAAGAGATTTTGTTATAACTTCCGAAAACAAAAATGACTGAATACAGTTGAGGTAGTTAGTTGATTGTGCCAACCTGGCCGATAAACACATATGGGGTTAGTTGAAGGTAGAGGGACAAATGGCTCAGTGAGCCTTGCCTTTCGACTTCTCGGGTCTCTTACTTTGTGATGGTCGGACCAGGGTGCAGCTGCCTTAGCCAGTTCCCTCCTTTAGCTGCAAGGCTCACTTCTTGCAAAACATCCCTGAGGAGAAGCCACATGGACCTACCCCGATGCAGCCCTGGGCGCTGAAGCAGCCATGTGGAGACCCCTACCAGCACTGAGATGCTTACACATTCACTGACTTGGCTTTCCTCCTGCAGTCTGCATCATTGCATGTGTTTTGTGAGATGGAGGAGGACTTTGTGGATTAGTGTCGGACATATAGACATATGGGTTAATGTTGGACTTGTGGGCTTGGGCAGCACTGGGTTAGGATGTTTTCTTGATGCGCACTTAACCTTTATATAAAACTCTCTCTTCTACATGAGTTTCTGTCGATTTGTTTCTCTAAAGTACCCAGACTAAAACAACAGTATACCACTGCTTATGCCAAATTCTCACTAAAATTACACTATAGTGAAGTAATACTTTTATCTCTTAAAACTTATATGACTAAGAAGAGAAGGCTTGACTCAAGAGGAAATACCAGCATGTTTGGGGAAGGGAAAGAATGCAGGGACACAGCGTAACTAGATTAAACAAGGTGGAGATAAAATTACCATTGAGTCAGTTGTAGTTCTTAAGACCTACATGGGGCCTTTGAGACTGTACAGTTTTAGGGGAGCGGAGAGCCTTATCTTTTCTTGAGGCCTGCTTGGTAGGTTTGAACCATGATATGATCCAACACTGACCCGACAGTCTGAAATCTAAATTCCAAAAAAGAGAGATAGCCAAAAAAAAGAGAAGAACGTCTATAACATTTAAACAATATGGCTTCAATTCAGGAGACACAATATCAAAGTAACAATAATATAAAGAGCCTCTCAACTATTTTTTCCTTTCCTTTTGTTTTGTAATGCCTTCAAGGTGGATGCAGGGCCAGAGCCTGTCAACGTAGGGCTGCCTCTGGAAGGTGAAGAACTGATTTATGTTTCCTATTAAATGAGTCCATTGAAAATCCAGCACAATTCATGGTATCACAGCATTTTAACAGTCATGATAAGAAAATATCTTAATAGCGTCCAGGATGAAATATAGAAAATAAAATGTCCAGACTTCTTATCCACAATACTGGCCTTAAAAAACAGGAAAGTAATTGTTCCAAAATTCCAACTGCATACCATTTCTTAGAATTTTATACCCAGGCAAAAAAAACAGTCAGGATCCTTGGAAGGACTGAAAACCATATTTCTCCAGCCATATTTTCCAGAAAGCTCTATGGGGTGAATGGAACAATCTAGGAATCAGGTGATCCATAAGATCACCTGAGAAAGGCAAAAGGAATCTCCAAAATGATAGTGAAGAATGATCTCAAGAGACAGCTGAGAACACCCAGGAATCAGCACGGGAACAAGGGGCGAGAGCTGCAGGCAGGAGCACAGATGTCGGGTTCACACTGAGAAGCTTTAAAGCTCAGTGGTATGGTGTAGGGAAGTATGAGAAGCCCTGGTGGTGAAGTGGTTAAGCGTTGCACTATTAACTGCAAGGTCAGCAGTTCTAAACCCCCAGCCCCTCCGCAGAAGAAGATGGAGACCTTCCACTCAGATGAAGTTCCAGTCTCGGACACCCCACGGGCAGCTCTACCCCGTCCTATGGCATTGCTGAGTCAGAAGCATTCAGTGGCAGTGAGACTGAGGAGACAAAGGAAGTATCAATTTCCTGCACACACAAACAATACTGGAATATATCATGGCTCACCTTTGAAATATGCTCATGAATAGTATCATAATAATCTCAACCCAAAGGATAAACTCAACCAACATTTGAAATAATGGCATTACTGACTGAACTGTGAGCAGCGGGAATGGAGAATCTATGCAAGCACCATGTACAGAAGGTCAAGAGAGAGGCCTCTGAGAACCTGGACAGTACTCCGAGCTTTGCGGGTACTTTGAAATATTTATCAAGACAGATAGGCTTATGTACCAGAAGAAACATCCAAAGGAGTATAAAGCAATTCTCCTTCAGGAGTAGAAAGAGATAGGACGAGATTGCTACTTTATAATGCTACTTTAATTTTTGTCCACATATATTATTGTTTGGATAAAAACTAAATAGTGATTTTTACAACATTTATATGGTAAGGCTATAAGAGATGTAGCCTCAGACTGAAGGGCATCTCTGTGAAACCTGTTCTGAAAAGCAATCTATCTTTACCTCTTACAGTAAAACATGCACTGCTACTGTGGCCCAGCCACCTTATGTCTGGAAAAGCCATCGAGAAGAAATAAAACCATTGACTAAAGTGGACATGCACAATTACTTTTATTTTAGTAGAAAGCAGAAGATGTTCATTTGTTTCTTTCAGTAAATAAACTGTGATGGCAAAGCCCCCGAAGGACCTACGTATCCTTCAGCTACCGAGCTATGTGTACAGTTTCACCAAGCAAATCAGCCCAAAACGCCATCCGTATCAATGTATGCCAAGGAAACATGGGGAAAAATACACACTATTTCTAGGACAGTCTCTGAGGAGTGCAAATAGTTAACGTCACGCAGTGGATAACTAAAGTTTAGAAGATTGAGTCTGCCCAGAG